AAAATTGGGAAAATGGGATTCCTGATAATACCTCAAAATAAGCCATCTCCATTTTGGTATCTGGAGGATCCCAGACCAAAGCCTTGTTGACACTCAACACTTGCCTAAGGCAGAGCTCTGGCCAGGACAGTGACATCTCTGTCAGGTTTCCCTTTCAAGAGAGAGAAAACACCTCCTTCCAGAAACACAGTGCAGACAAAACCTGTGTCAGCACCCAGGGAAGTCAACTCCATCCTTCCTGACCTCTACAGCGCTCCTATCACATGTAAGAAAACTAGCAGCTTAAAGAGAGTGAACAAGGTGAATAAACATAGTTGTTCATGCAGAAAGAAAAGAGAAATTACTGGACAAAAATGAAAAATAGGAGAGGTGGAATGCAAGAATGAGGGCATTAAATTAGCAATCTAGTTAGTGCAAAGGAAATCTCATAACACTTTCTTTGTCAAAGGCCTAGAAGTAATCAGATTAGAAGAGGTACTCACCAGAAGTAACCAATTTTACTTTTTGAATATTTGCCTCAAAGAAGCAGAACTATGCATAGAGATTGCTGAGGCAAGGGACTGCTGCTTTGCATCACCAGCATTTTTAGGCAATTTAATTTTTACCAAGTACGGGGACATGATTTTTGCTGTTGTCATAAATAAAACAAACAGTTAAATATACAAAATAGTGCCTGTCTAGCAACCTGTGACACAACCTTCATGACTTCACATTCAGGGAAAATGGTTTAGGGTAAAGAAGACTGTGAAGAGACCGAAATATAATTACAGAATTAAAATCTTCCTAAACATTCCAAAAGTATACAAACAATTGCATGTAATATGAAAGAGTGATTTAGAGGACAAATCTGAACAAATCTCCTTACGTGTAGAGGGAAAGGGCAAAAGCGTAAATGGTATAAGTTGGAGTATGTTAGACACGGGTGATGGAAGAAGAGATCAAAATTTTTTTTTCAAAGAGAAAGATAGTTATTTTGGAAAATAACACAAACAGTGCCAGTATAAGCAATCATTTTCTTAAAGAAAAATGTCCATAGTTAAATAAAAAAAATAATTACAATACTAAACATCAGTAGGCAAAAGAACAACAGCTACAAACTTTTGACCTAGAATTCTGTAGTTTGATAATTGTATAAAATTTCTTTAATGTCAAATGTATAAACAAGAGATTATCATTGAATATTATTCAGTGATAAAAAGAAATGAGCTATCAAACCATAGAAAGACATAGAGGAATCTTAAAAGCATATTGCTGAGTGAACAAAGCCAATCTAATTATATGATGTTTCGGAAAAGACAAAACTCTAGAGACAGTGAAAAGATCAGTGGTTGCCAGATCAGTGGTTTGAGTGAAGAGGAAAGAAAGAAGGACATTCATAGCTGAAGCACAGGGGATTTTTTAGGGCGGTGAAACTATTCTGTATGATACAGTAATGCTGGACACATGAGGTTACACATTTGTCAAAACCCATAAAATGTACAACCCAAAGAATGAGCCCTAATGTAAACTATGGATTTTAGTTAATAATAATGTGTCAATATTGATTCATCAATTGTAACTAATGTAACACTACTACAGGATGTAAACAGTAAGGGAAGCTGTAGGGGATGGGAGAGTGTATGTGGGAACTCTCTGTACTTTCCAAGCAATTTTTCTGTAAACCCAAAACTGTTCTAAAAAAAAGTGCAGAAATTTAAAAAAAAAGATGAGAAAAAACCCAGAGCTCAGAAAATACATCAACTTACTCCTGTCCTGAAAAAACAAAGTATTTTATTGTATTTTTGTATGGGTGTGGAGAGAGAAAAAGTATTTTCCTAGGTTTATTTTTTTTTTCATTAACACTTTAACACATGAAGAAGTGAGAACTAAACCATTTAAGTCATTGTAATATATTTTTACATCTATTTTGGCAAATTCTCATTCTTTTTTCTCCTTTTTAAAAAAAATATTTAGTTAATCTTACTCATTTACTTTTTCAAAATAACTTACACTAGTGGAATATCATGTTACTGGTATTCATATCTCTAAAGTCTCATAGTATTAATTCTTTGACATATTGTAAGGAAAAGTATATATATTAGCAGGTTTAAATTAACTCGTTTGATTAGCTAAATACCTTTAAAAAATCCACAAGGGGAAAAACACTTAAACATGGCAGAGGACATTATAATTTTAGTTTTGTGAGCTACCACATATAAAGACTGCTAAAATTATAACTATTATAAATATCTTCACTTCATACTTCTGTTTGATGAGCTTCTTTTTTAAAGAGGTACTGTGGGTCTCTACTTACTTGACAATAGTAGAGCTGATCTTACACTCCTTTGTCTATTCTGACAGGTCTTGGATATATTGTATTAGCATGTAAATATCTCAAAAATATCCAAATATATTTTATTTATATTTCAATGCTGGGCAATGAAATGATGGTCAAAATATTACGATTTTAGTTTATTCAATAAAACGAAACAGCATTGAATTTGCTTAGTTTGGAGGTAGAGTTATGTGAATGTTCCTAGACACAACAACATTTCACTTTGGCAATTGAGGAAAAAGCAAGAGTGTTAGCTAAAAACTAATTCATTAAGTTATTTTTTTAAATTGACATTATTATTTTTGATAATCAAATGCGGCATGCACTTGTTTTTCTGATATTCGGAGTACAAGATATCTTGAAAAACCATAAACAAGAGATCACGCCCCCCCTCCTCGTCCCACACTTCTCTATTCCTTTAAGGACAGAGAAATTCTTGCTGGGGAGTAAGAATTGATTTTCCCACTATCAATCAAAAAAATCTACTCACCACTGAACAGGCTTGATTATCAGCTAGTTTTTAGAAACGGATTTTTATTAAAAATCAAAAGAAGAGAGGGGCCGGGGCTGTGGCCAAGTGGTTAAGTTCACACTCTCCACTTCAGGAGACTGGGGTTTGCGGGTTCAGAACCTGGGCATGGACCTACACATCGCTCATCAAGCCGTACTGGGTGGCGTCCCACATAGAAGAACTAGCATGACCTAAACTAGTATATACAACTATGTCCTGGGGGCTTTGGTGAGAAAACAAAAAAAGAGGAAGATTGGCAACAGATGTTAGCTCAGGGCCAAACTTCCTCACCAAGAAAAGAAAAAAGGAAGAATCAGTACATATTTCAAGCAAGGTCAAATCCTTGGAGTCCTTTCCTGGCCTCGCAAATAAACAGTAATAATTAATCACACTTAAGATGGTTTAAAGTTTCATTTATCTGTTAAATGATTGAAATAAGAAAATAAAAGTAAACTTTCTAAGACAACAGACAAGGCATTGAGACCACTGTTGTGTAGTTAGTAGCTGTATTTTTATTAAGATATCTGTTGTCTGCGGCATATTCACAGACATTTGAAAACAGAATACATTTCCCACTTTAACTTTTGGTGAAAACAAAGAAATACTTCTGAACCACAGAATTTAGAGTCACCACGATGAATCCACTTATTACCCATCACGTTTCTTGTGGTTTACTCACATGACGACTGCTTATTTTTCAAGGTCCATTCAAAATCACTTCTCGACCTAATGTAGTGATATTGCTTTCCCTCAATTTGTAAAAGATTCTCCTAATGCTGAAATTTCTCGTTTTCATTTGTGTATGACGTCTTTTAAGCTGTATTATTTTCTCACAGTTTACATTCTGTGTTTTTCTCCTGTGTGGTTAAAAATATTTTTTGTCAAAATGCTTAAAAACAAATCAAGAAATGCAATCCACAATTTAAGTGTTAAACTCATTTTAAAATTGAAGTAATTCATTGTTTTCTACTCACAACTTATCAAAAAATTTTACTCCTATCTTTTTCTCCTGCTACTCATTCTTGTTATTTATTAGTCCTCGAAAATTAATTCTTACACCATTGTTAAGCAATCCTTTCTTTTTAGTCTCATAAAAACAAAATCAGGAAAAAAATTATTGTAGACTACATTGTTTTTGTTTTCACCTTTAAGAATGAAAGTAGCTTAACTGAATCCCATGGAAAAGGTGTGAATTGACATAACTTAGATTACTTTTATTTTTTCCAAGGAAGATTAGCCCTGAGCTAACAGCCACAGGCAATCCTCGTCTTTTTGCTGGCAAAGATTGGCCCTGAGCTAACATCCGTGCCCATCCCATCTTCCTCTGTTTTACATGCGGGACGCCTGCCACAGCATGGCTTGATAAGCCATGGGTAGGTCTGCCTCCAGGACGGGAAACAGCCAACCCTGGGGCCGCTGAAGCGGAGTATGAGAATTTAAGCACTGCATCACCAGGTGGGCCTCTTAGATTACTTTTTTATTGACTAAAATAATATTTAAGAGATATTAAATAAGTAGGGGCATGGAAGTAGCTTTCTAATCTTTTATCCTAGATTAAATTACAGGACGTATTATGGTTTTGGATAATCTACATACCACTTGTCTAAATACGTTGATTATCACTATACTGAATAGAAGAACAAAAAAGGAGTACTTTTAAGTTGATAATTACTTTCCTGTAAATTCAGGTAAAAGATTTGGGAGGTAGGAAAATTTCTTAAATGTTATCAGTGGCTCTTAGTTATCCAGACCCTTCTTCAATGCATAAATTCAACAGCTGTTTCATTCTCCACAATACAGAGTCCTGCTGAGGGGAATTTAAAATGTGGGAAGGTTTATTACTAACTCTAAAACAACTTCTATTCCAGTTAGTGAGAATATACACTAAATTTTATTTCCTAAATGAATAATTTCCTAAAATGAACCGCCACGACCATAAGTTTTATAACAATTAGAGAAGGTGAAAAAAACATTATTGGTCCAAAGAAAACAAATTATGATCGCTATTAACATGAGAATAAATTTCTTCTTTCAAGATGGATCTTTGTCTAGTACAATACTTGGAAGATTGTTGGAAATAAGTGTTAGAATTTTTGGTGGAATCAATTTGAAAATTTATCTTGTTTAATCATATTTAAAACACATTTCATATATAGTAGTTAGCAAAACAATTACCTTTAAAATTGGGTCTGATTCTTGCATCATACCCCGATGTCCTCCCCATTAATTTATCCAGAAAGTCAGAAGGTGACATTGGAGCACTTCGAGATCTTGCACTATCTGTTTCTTTTGTGGCAACCAAACTATAAATGAGAAAAAGATACAGATTTTACCAAAAAAAGTCTTCCTGACAATTGTTGCCTACAAATATAAGATAAAAATGCTAAGCAAAAATACCTTTGAAAATACAAAGAAAAGCTTTATATGCTATACAGTGAATATTATCGTAATAACAGTTAGATTTTTGTAGATTTACAGTTCTATTTATAAGTCTTCAAGTATTCAGCCCGGGGGTCAGAGGTGACATTATTTTGTGTTAAGTGTGGAAACAAAGCCACATCCAAATTATTGGGCTTTCAAAGTTTGTATTTACCCAAACTTGGTTTCTAATTGCAAATTTTAGCAAAAAAGTATCCTTTAGTGATTCAGGCATAAGAAAATATGAAAATATAGCTGTGAAACACGATTCTTATTGTTTTTATTGAAGGAAAAATATGACCTTTCAGGTTTTGTGAATTTTTCTTAACAGTAATAAAACTTCCATCCAATAGATAAAAACATTTCTTCATTTGGAGTTCATTTCTTCAACTGGAGCGCTTCCTATATTAGCAACATACCCAGATAAATTCATTCTACTCTCACTTTGTCATTCATCTACAGGACATTTTGCTCAGATCTATAATTTGTGCATCAAGATTGAGAAATTACCGTAAACGTGCTCTGTGCATCTGGACATTATTTGCTGAGAAACTGTGTCCAGGGAAGGTAAAGTGTTATTGTATTTTTTTCATTCAAATATTTTCTGTTTTATGCAGCTGCTCATCCTAGAAGCCCATAAGTGTACCTGCATCCCTGTCCAGTCCCTCGTTTAGGTAGGTTGGTCCACAGAAGACCTGCTTGGTAATATCAAATGATTCTTTTCATCCACAGAGCTTTTCTCAGGGAAGTGAAGCAGACTTTCTGAGTACGCATGTCTTTGAAACTGATATATCAAAACTGATGTTACTTCCTGGAGATTGTCAATCATCACATCTTCCCAGCTCTGTCACTCAACTAAGGGCATTGACAAACCCTCAACCTTTGTGGTCACCGCTTGACCTTAGCAGTATCAAGTTATGAAATTCCTCCTGCCAGAGTTTCTAATAAATAGCGAAAATGGGCCTTAACACTGTCACCATTAAATTATCTACCATGCATATATATTCAAGGACTCATAGAGACATTTTAAAATCCAGTATCAATGATAATTGTGAGAATGACACTTCTGAAAGCATAATATCACAACTAACAGCCCCTATTACTCTTGCCCTGTTCTAGAGGCTCTATCTAGTTCTGGACATTTTAAGTCACTTATCTTCCCAATGACTCTCACCCTTATCTTTCTCGCTAAACAGAAGTTTCTCCTTTCTCTATTTTGTTGGTTCCATATTACTTTGTTACCCTTTATCTCTGATTATCACTGATCAGTTGAGTCCCCGTCATTGTGATCTCTGGAAAGTTTATTCTAATGTAATAATCATCATCACCATCATGAAAATAAAAAAAGAAGAAACTCACTACCTTCTCAAAAACTCTAGAACTTTCCTCTCCCATCTGGTTTTAAGTAACTTTTACCTGTCCTCTTAAGTAACATTTACTCATTTTCCATGGCCCAAACATAAAGAGGGCAGAAAGACATTGTCAGAGCTCTCATAGCTACATATTGCTGCTTCTTAACCATTCCTTTTATTTCTTTTGCAAAATCCTTCCTTCCAGTTGTTAGAAAATAACAACAGGGCTGGCCTTGGAGTCCATCAGTTAAGTTCAGCGTGCTCCATTTTGGCGGCCTGGGCATGCACCTACACCACTTGTCAGTGGCTGTATTGTGGTGGTGACCCACCTACAAAATAGAGGAAGATTGGCACAGACATTAGCTCAGGGTGAATCTTCCTCAGGAAAAAAGAGAAAAGAAACATCTACATTTTCCTATAAATGAATAAACCAACTTACTTGTATCTGAACCAATAATACTCTGCCCCTCACCTTTTAAAAGATAATAGATAACTAGGTATGGTTAGCTGGCAATCCCTCACATTTTGCACTGCAAGGGGGAGATTATCACAGATTATCCAGGTCAGCCCTACATACAATGGCATGCATCCTTACAAGAGAGAGCAAGAGTATATTTGATTACAGACAGAAGAGGGAAGGCAATGTGGCCATAGAGGCAGAGATTAGAGTGATGTGGCCACAGCCAGGGAATGCCAGAGTCAACATAGGCTGGAAGAGGAAGGAACAAATTCTCCCCTAGAACCTTTAGAGCTTAGTGTGGTCCTACACAAACCTTGTTTTGGGCCCAGGGAACTGGTTTCAGACTTCTGGCCTCCAGAACTGTGAGATAATAAATTTCGGTTGTTTTAAGCCACCAACGTTGTAGTAATTTATTACAGCAGACACAGGGCACTAATACAACAGGAAGTGGTATATATCCTCATGCTTCAAGATAGGCAAACATCTCATTCATCCTCTAAACAAGAATGTGTAGAAAGAGAAAGGCTTTCATATAATTTATTAGGTGCGAAGCACTGTACTGAGAATAGTAAAGTATATAGAACACAAATTTGAACCCTTAAAGTATTCACTGTTCAGTATATTACTCTGTCTGGACCCAGCTGGGGTCTTCAGAGAATCCTTGAGAAGTATCAGTGATCAGGAGCTGGAAAGTGAGATTACAAAGAAGCAAAAGATTGCCTGGCTCCCTTCTTTCTACAGTTATAAACAAAATCTTTATGTTTTATAACAGGAATTCGCAACCAAGCTCTGTAGATCGATGCTATAAAAAAATGAGAAAATTCTGAGCAGAGAAATATTCCAAATTTTTTTTACTAATTTTGTCCCTTCAATGACACAAGAACCATTCAACTGCTTATGGACAATTAATTTTATTTCTAAAGATTCACAATTTTGACTCAAAGGGAATTATTGTCAGCAAAACTACATTAAGTAATTGGCTAAAAAGCACTTCTACATGGTCTATCCTTTCCTTTTCTGAAGGGGTGAAGGCTGTGCATATGGGAAGACTTCCTGTCACCTACAACTCTTGCTCTGGTATATTTCTCCTAGAACTTTCTTCCTGTGAGAGTAATATCTGAGACTGGCACCATGTGAATACCAGTAAACTGTTTTCAGAGAACTGTAGTCATTGAAGAGAGCTTATAGTAATAAATACATAGTTTGAGGCTCCATAAGACCAATCTGAATCTTACTCTAATTTTGAGTAGTCAACATCATCTGTAAATACATATTCACAAACATTTTGTTTAAGTTGTTAAAATTCATGGTAGGAGGAGGCAGTGAGAAGAAATCTAAGATTAATTTAGAATGGATTTTGGATAAGAAATTTTGTTTATTATGAAGTCTATTTTTTCTTGTCTACACTTCCCAGCTTCAGCAAAACTGTCATATTTATAGCAAGTTACGAAGGTTGTTAGCAAATTACTCATGATCAGTACTTTTCAAAGAAGCAGCTTTGAAATTTTCAGAAGACTTTTATTTATAAAAATTCAAAATCTGTGTTAATTTCCCTGCCTCCCACAGTTAGCTCTTCTTTTTTATGTTATACCAAGTACTGAACTTACTATTAACTATTCTTGGAAACTGTATACAGGCTCATACATCAATGAACATGTTTTTCACTTAAGTATTTCATATATTCTTATTTTTATAAGGACATGATACTTAAAAGTTCAGAGACTTCAACTTCTGAGAGACTGGTAGAAACCTATTCACTTAAGCATTGAAATCAAACAACAGCATTTATCAAAAATGTAAGTCTGTTCCCCTCTCCCCCGCTCCCCTCCCATCCTATTCAATGAGACAAGAAGGTAAATATATCCATTTTTGGAGGACAGAAACAACCACTAAATATAAATGCCTTCAAGTTGAATTTTAATATAATTATCAATACCTATTTTCCTATGCTATATGCACCTTAAAATTGAGAGAAAATATGAAAGTTGTAGCTGGGAAACATCATGTGGGTTTGAGACAAGTCTCAGCACAGGGGGCCACAAACCTCCACGCATCTATTTTCGTGAGTTGATTTGCACAGAAGGAAGAGTGACTTGTGGGGAACAAACCAGTGCTCTGACTCCTGAGGCAGAGAAACTTTGGGATATGATGGAGACAGACAGTTTACTATGTATTCTATAGCTCCATGAATCAATCCTGTAGGGTTACAATTCCTTGTAAAAAAATTTTTAGTTATTATTATTTGAAACTTTCTGAATTGTAGGAATATAAGCAATTGATATTTCTAGCCCCAGTTTGAAAAGTAAGTCACAGATCAGAAGAGATGAGCGTTCTTCCCATTTTTTTGTGGCTTCAGTCTCTTTATAGGAGAACGAAAGAAAAACTGGGTTGTCTGGGAATATGTGAAGTTTTGAGCATTCCATACTGTCAAAGGTTTAGAAATAGCCAAAGTAAAACCAATGAATCATTCAAGCAGTAATTAGTAAAAGTTTACTTTGCACACGTCAAAAAGACAGTCTGCAAAAAGGAAGCACTCAAACCAAAACACAGAATGAGCCTCAGGGGAACATTGTTATAAGCAGCTTATACAGTGATAAAGCAGTGGCTGTTTATTCTTCATGGTGATTAGTTATAATATTAGAATTTTCAGAGGTTGCCTCATATCCACTTGGGAAATAGGTCAAATTTTGCTTATAATTTCCAGTGGCATTAGCAAGAAATGGCCAAGGTCAAGTCAGTCTTGCAAAAAAAGCTAAACTAAACTTGGTTTGTATGACAAAATTGGTTCTGTCTGATCAGGGAACTTTCAAGATTGGTCTCCATTTGTTTTTGATTTTAACAATTTTAAAGCATACTGCTTTAGAAAAGGAATCACTGTTTGCCACGAAGACACTAATAGTGAAGCAGGCTTTAAATTGATTGTTTGATATTAATTATTTAAAAAACATGGACAAAGTGGAAGAATATAAAAGGACGGTTCTTGAACACCTCTGGAAACTCAGAGAAATAACTAAAAGTTAACAGGGTACTGGGATCTTGATTCTTGCCCCTGTGAGCCATGTGCCAGCAAAAT